ATAGTCTTGTTTATGTAGGTGTTAACAGAATGTCACCATGTTCTCGACTGCAAGACAGTCGAGAACTGTGAGACAGTCGAGAATATGGTGACATTCTGTTAACACCTACATAAACAAGACTATCTCGCAATCACATTTGTGACTTTACTTCCAAATAATTTTATTAATGACGAATTCAAACCACAATCTTTCTACTAAACGGATTTGTAACGTTAGCACTGAAGATGGCTGAATGATCAGCCGAAATGTTTGTTGCTTATGAGAAACATTTGTTAAAATAAAAGATTCTAAGAACTACAATCTTCTTTAGCTTGAGATCCTTCTGCTACGCCATCGATTTAATTTTTGCGAGCCTAAACTTCGAGTTTTTTATATTATTTACTCATTTTTATGTGTGTACTATATTTGTACTAAATACAAAAAATATATTTTATAACAGTCCACCGTCCACCACAGTTTACAGCTCGGAAAAGAAAGAAGCGCATAGCAACGCGATTTAACATCGACGATGCCTAATAGAAATCTAATATCCATCGTAGAGATAGATGTAGTATGGAGTTATAAAGATTATATGGACGTCTATTAGATGTCATGTTCTATGTGGGTATGTTTCTCGAACCGAGATCTCGGACCGATATCTAGCATCGTGGACTTTTCAAGCCAGGATACAGTATCTGTTTTACCTTCTATTTTTCGTAAATTTTGTTTTTTTGGCTGCGTGTCTTAAAAAATTTTTTTAAATCGACCGTCCGTAGTGTATTAGCATATGTAATTTAATTACAGAAAAAAATTTTTCATTCTACATGGCCAAAAAAAAAATAGTGTATTTGAAAGAAATCGGTAAAACAAACCACTTTAAGATCCTCTTAAGTCACAATTTTTTATCTTGTTTTTAGCAAAACTTGATTTAATTTTTTAATTATATCTTTTTAAAATATATTTCAATATTTACATATTTTCAAAAGATAGATATGAACAATTTTACATAATATCACATTGAAGAACACATGTCTTATTTTCTTTCACAGATGTAAACCACTATTATCTTTATATAAAAATTCTATATTTATTACATATTACAAGTGGATATATAAAGGATGTAAAAAAAGACAAATACATAAAATAATGGAAAACAATATAGAACATTTATATAATAGTAATTACGTACAAATGACTAAAAATATGGTTTGGTTTTGTGGTAACTGTAATCTTTTTGCTTATAATCGCGCAATGAACGGTAGCATTGAAAGCGGTAAAAAGATTATGAAAAGAAGCGATACTTTTATTACATCTTTTGCTCATTGCAATAATTATATCATAGGTGGCACCAGGTGAGTATTTATTTATGAACTGTGTTTCATGTTTATTTCTCTTTTTTATTTTTGACAAAATCTTGCAGAGATGGTCATATTTACCACTGGGAAATTGAGGATAATCAAAATAATGTTTATTTTGAAATAATGCTTAATGTTGAATTTTTTAATTGTTATTATGAAATCCAACAAATAAACGCAACATCGCAACACATTATAACTGGTTGTGATAATTCAATAAATGTAAGATTAAAGAAAAATTGTAATAATGCTATGTTAATGTAGTATGTAAAAAGTTTGTTTTTGTAGATACTGAAATATACAGATGATAGAAAAGGTTATACGAAAGAAAAGGAAATAATTTATGGAGACGACGAATCTATGACGAATTGGCTATCAATCTCATTTGACCCTATAGGAACAAAATTTGCGGCTAATTCCATTAATAGTTTTGACTATTATTCTTATTCGTCGTTTCATATTTACGATATTGATAAAAAGTAAGTTATGTTTCAATTAATTAATAGGTTTCTACAAATGTTTGATTAAACATTGACTTATATTTTATAACTTACATAAACGGTTTGACAACCCGAAAATTTTAAAAAAATATAAAAATGCCAAAATATAATACATATGAACCTAACAAGTACGTATGTTTGGAATATACAACAAACTAATGTAAAGGAATTTTAGTTATCAGATAATGAATATAAAATATGATGATCTTTGTCAGCAACTAATATGGGAGGATACTCACACTATTCTCATGTGTTTTGAAAATTTTATTAAAAAAATGGATTTGAGGTAATAAATCTTATTGTTAATACCAATTAGCCATTCAATTTATCTATATTTGTTACTGTGATTTCAGAACATCCGAATTTGTACGTACATGGGATTCTTCCAAATATGACCTTTTATTCTGTTGCTCATCAGATAATATGAACACTTTTATGACAGGGCATTATATGGGTGTTCTATGGGATCAGAGACAGAGTGTTGCCATTCAAGTTTGTATTATTTTCAAATTTTTTGTATCTTGTACTTTATTAGTGAATTATTATTAACTATCTTAAAAATTTTTAGACGTATGATGTGGACGACTCAGGTATATGTTCTCTAGAATTTGATAGTACCCATATGTATGCTGCTACAGAAACAGATCTTTTTGAATTGGACTTTACGGGAAAAGACCACTTTGACCATAAAAAAATAGAAAATTTTTTCAGCAATTTTTATTAAATAAAGGAAGTTGAGTAAAAATTTTTTTTTATTATACAGGGTGATTTAAAATAACCTGATGTCCTTGCAATGCCATATTCTTGAGCAAATTCTGAGACGATTTTTTTTTTTACAAAGTTTTGTCCGAAGCTTAGATTTCGAGTTATAATTGAAAATAGGTAGCAACTTACGAGTCCGGTATGTACAACGGGCAGGCAGGGACGCGCCAAGATTTATAGAGAGAAGGTTACCTCAGTAAAACTAAGGCACTAGGGCTGCGTTCCCATTTCGTCTCACTCAGTGCAGTATCCAGTGGCCGCCATTTTGCTGGATACTGCACTGGAGAAGCGTTCCCAAATTACTGGACTGGCTAGTGGCTAGTGACAGTTTCGCACACGTATTAGCTCATAACCTAAATAAAATTGTTAGTTAATATGTAAATAGTGTTGAAGCAATTATTGCCAGTAAAGATTATTATATTGATAAGTAAATATTTCAATTAGCAATGTATTAATAAGTGTTAGCGTTATTTTTAAATATTATAACGACGATTATACCGATTATTTGTTTGTATAACTTCACATTTAAAAACAATAAATTATTATATATAATGTTTATTGTATATAATTATTGTACATAATTTTATTTTTTCAGTACACATTGATTTTTTTTATTAACGTGTTGTGATTATTCTGAACGAGGTACGATTGTCACTAGCCAGTCCAGTAATTTGGGAACGCTTCTCCAGTGCAGTATCCAGTAAAATGGCGGCCACTGGATACTGCACTGAGTGAGACAAAATGGGAACGCAGCCTTATGCTCTAACGATACTAGCGCCAAGGATTTAATTGAATTCCGACCACAGCGTGAGTGTAAGATCTAGATATAATTTGTTTTGCGATCGAAACAAAGTAATTTTTGTGATTAGAGGCTCGATAATATTGTAATTTGGCAAGTTTTTTATTCTGAAACAACATAAGCGTTGAAACGTATTTCTGCAAGTTGATACAGAAAAAGATTCCAACGAGTCCACAGGAAGAGATTCGGCGGACTGCATTATATTCATGTTTTCAGAGGTTAGCCTATTATGATGTAACGGTTTAAAGAAAAAGCTACTTACATTCTGTTTATGATATGCTGTGATATACTAATTAAATAGTACATGCCACGTACAACAAAAGTATTAGAGATGTTTTTATGGGAACGCACTTCTTCTATAGGTATTAAGTTTGTTATTTTTTGTAGTTGCTCTATTTACTTTCTGTCTTTTCCAGTATATATGCCTAAGATCTTATATTTGTTTATGTAAATATTCTAAAGACGATCTATATCTGAAAATTCGTTTGCTTAATTTCTCTCTGACTAATTTTTCTAAGAATGTTTTAATACATTTAGGATGCTTATTCATATATATATTTCAATAATTTTCAATTCAAAACATGGTTGTTGACTTTCCTCAAAGACAGTAAACATGCCTTGAAAAGACTAATACACAGAATGATAGTGATTGTATATGCATATGTTTTGATAATTTTGTATGTTTAAGATATATAAAATTATTTTTGTATATAAGATATATTAAAATTATGTGATTTATAATTATATATTTGTAATGTAATTATATATTTAAGATTTGGCATGAGCTTATACTCATATATTTTATTTTTACAAAAATTACAATATTTATCTAAACTAGCAACTAATATAATTGAAACAGCAGAACAATTGAAGATATCCATTGAAGAAGCTGAGGCAGAAATTATCATTAATATAATTCCCAATTTAGTAATAGGAATAATCATTTTGTGTATGTTCAATACTTTGTCAAATAAATATTTATATTATCTTCCACAAAACTTGAGAAAATGATACTTTTATTTTTCTGAGGATCCCTTCAATTGTCTGTTTAATTTAATGTACAATTAGTGTTATTTTAATAGATGTTATTTACAATATTTTCAGAAGCAGAGTCAAAGCGATATTCTTCTCAGTAAAAGACTGTCCTATCTGTTACGCCATGGTGCTACAAAGGAAGGATTAGATATTAAACCAAATGGCTTTATTGCAGTTGATGAACTATTAAATAAATCGTTGTCCCAACATAATATTGATGATATCAAGAGAGTAGTAAAGCATAATAACAAACAAAGATTCACTCTATGTACCATTAATGGTATTTTAGAGATTAAAGCAAACCAGGGCCATTCCATATCCAAGATCACTGAACTAAACTTGAAAATACTTGATTGTGTGAAATTTGATGTAATACATGGAACTTATTTCAAATATTGGACGAAGATAAAAGCTGAAGGTCTATCTCGTATGAATAGAAATCATATTCATTTTGCAAAGGGATTAAACTTTATCAACGGCTTACGGCAAGGCGCAGAACTATTTATTTATATCCACTTTGATAAGGCAAAGAAAGATGACTTAATATTTTTAGAATCTGAAAATGGTGTTGTTCTCTGTGCTGGAAATTCAAAAGGATTTATTGAAAAAAAATATTTTCTAAAAGTGATCACAAAACATGGTCAAGCACTGAATTTTGACTGAATTTTTTTATTTTTTCACTATATTGTTTTTAATATATTTTTTTTTTCTACAATACGTAATACATTGATTACAATTGATCGTAATTGTATTATATTGATGTAAATCGTTAGTGATTATTTCAACAATTTTACCTTTTCGATATTTGACAATGGATTCTCAACTATCTGTTGAATGTTCTGCACAATCAAATAAACATACAAACAACCAAGTTGCTACAAGCTCAAATCATCAAGAAGAAAAACTGGGACAGAAATCGCAGGAAGAAAATCCACATTATGTACCAGGAAAGTCACTTTGCATTAGTCCTTTACCAGAAACTATATCTCGAGAAGAATTGTTAAAATTTCTTTATCAATTCGGATCAGTTAAAAGACACCATTTTGAACGAAATTCTTTATGGATCGAATACCATAGCAGGTACGGTACTAGTATTTATAATATTTATGATATTTTTAAATTTAAAAATAAGGAAGATGACAAATATTTTTAATATAAAAATTAATGTAAAACTAATTAATTAAGAGAGTATATATTTGTCTTAATGTGATATTACAGCAAACCCATTTATATTTTAACGAGAAAGTCAAATTGGTTGCCAAATGAAAAACTATGCATAAGAAGAATTAAGAAAAATAAAGATGATTTTGATAAAGGTAAAGATATATATATATATTTTAAGACTACTATTTTTTATGAAGATTATTTGACATAAATTTATATTTATGTTTATATTTATATATTGTTTTTACAGGGTCAAAACAAAAAGGTAAAAATGTCCCCAACAAAACCGAGGAAGAAGAAGACCTAATAAGTTATGACCGCATAAAGACTGGTATTGAAAAATGAAGTGACATTTGACGGTCAATTGGCCGCACTTTTAAATTCAATACAACTTAGTGACTTTGAATTAACGACAAGATATAATGTTATTTGCACACATTTGGACGAAATATTCAGACCGACTTTTCCTGAATGTCGAACATATAGATTTGGTTCAACAGTAGCGGGATTGGGTTTTAAAGAGAGTGATTTAGATATCTACATGTATGTCGGTAGAGACGGTAAGAAATTTTATTTTTCTGTTATGTATGAATATTGTGTGTGTTTGAATTGTGTTGATATTTTTTTTTTTGTTTAAGGTCTATCACCAGCTTTACACAGACCGGATATTCCACCACACATATTGACGCTATCAATTTTCAAAAAAGTGAAGAGAGTTATGTACAGCATGAAATCTGTCTTTGCCAATATAGTATCAATCCCTAAAGCAAAAACGCCTATTATAAAATTTCGTTATGCACCAACCAACGTCTCGTGTGATATTTCTTTCAAAAACAGTTTAGGCATTTACAAAAGTGACTTTTTAAAATATTGTGCAACATGTGACCCTCGAATAAGACCATTAATGCTGCTCATTAAGTATTGGGCAAGACATTTTGGAATTTCTGGCATCGGGAGAATCTCCAGCTATGGACTGGTATGTTTGATTATCTTTTATCTTCAACAAGATTTTGTTGGTCTTCTTCCACCCTTACTAGCTCTTCAGAGGACTTGTGCTCCACGGATCATAAATGGATGGCAAGTAAATTTTAATGAAAATACAGTATTGCCAGCTACTACCAACAACGATAATATCGCGATGCTACTTCATAAGTTCTTCTCTTTCTATGCCACATTTCACTTCAATTCATGTGTGATATGTTTATTGGACGGAAAGACATATTCGGCAGCTGACTTTGCTCAACTAGATAAATTACCTGATTATATGGATAGATACAAATGTTGTATCATGGAAAACGGTGCCAAGAAATTGGATATTCAGAAACCGATGTGCCTGCAAGATCCGATCGAACTTAATCAGAATACAGCTGCGGTTACATCAGACCGCGCATCAATAGCATTTCAACGTTGTTGCGCGTTTGGCGCTGAACTCTGTATAACCGCTAGTGAAAATAATTACGAAAATCTATTGAAAATGTTATTTAGTACAATACCTCCCGAATTGATAATAACAAAAAAGAAGAAAAAGAAGTTCAAAACCAAGATATGTGCTGGTCGGTTTCTTCAGGATTGCCAGAAAATTGCAGGATTGCCAGAAGATTTCGAAGAATGTACAAACGTTCTCGACAAGGAGCAGTACAAGAAAAATAATTGGTATTTCTTAGCTTTTAATCTAATAAGAGATATCTTTAAAATGGTATTCAAATTGCAAGTTGAAGTACTTCTCGATCAAGAAACGAAGCAGCAGAAAGTTGAAGTATTATCTGATGTACACACCAGAAGTCATCAAAACATAACTTTCCACTGCACAGGAAGCAAATGTGTATGGTACAATCGAAAAAAGAATAACAGAACTTTTTTGGATATTCAATTAAGTCTTTTAGAGAAAGAAGCAATTACGTCCGACAAGGTAGTGGAGCAGTTAAGTGAACATGAGGAAGCTAACAATATAAAGCTAGATTTTATATGTGTATTAGAAAAGGCAGATAATCCTGTAGCAGTAATATTAACGTTACATGATGAGAATAGTCAAAATCACATCTTTCGGCAATTTGAGTGTTTCGTAAATAGTTGGATACCAAAAATAATAGACAAAACATTGCTTCACATGCTACAATTTCAAAAAACTTATGACCAGTTGCTACAACATGCAAAATGATTCATTGTGATGATTTTAAACCCATTCCATGTATGTTTTTCACCATACATGTGTTAAAAATGAGCAATATTTCTTTAGCAAAACTTTGGACAATTTGATAATCAGCTTAGATCATCATATTGTTAAATAACTAATTCTCAACATGTCTGACTATTGATTACTTCCAAAAATTAAAAAACTTCTATTAGATTTTCTGACCTATATATTACTTATTGAAAATAATTATAAAATTTAGTTTTTGAATTTATATGTAACATTTACGAGCTGAATTCTAAAGGTGTAATCATCGAATAAATAAATTTTCTTACCAATATGTACAATATGTATGAATATATATATTTAACTTTTTCATATATTTGCGAAAAATTAAGTACACAAGTTATTAGAAATGGTATGTTTAATTATTTCATATTTTGGCTAAATTCCTTTTTGCATATATTTATATTTTTTACTTATATATCTTGTTCATATATTAACATTAATGTCCTTGACTTTTTATTTAGTTACGATTACGTTTATGCATAATGACTAGTAATAAGAAATCTAAAAATTCACTTGGATTAATTAACTTTTTTATTATGTAAACTCTTGATATTTTAATTTTTGATCTTTTATTATGTGCCAAACACATTTATAAATGCCGCTCAGGCATAGTTCTTGATCATGATGTACGAATATTTAGATGCGATGCGTACGTTCTAAATTGTCCAAATTTTGTTCAAATTGTCCAAAACGGTAGGAATTGCTTTCCTGTATGTCGTTAGGGCCTATCCAGCAAACTTGCATAGTCGCATAAACATGTGCATAAGGAAATTGATTGGTCTATAAGCAAATACATAAGGAAATGGACCAATCAATTTCCTTATGCGTATGTTATGCGACTATGCAAGTTTGTCTGGATAAGCCCTTACACCGGAACTGCTCAGTTCCTTTTCGTCCACGAAACAGTGAGGCAGGCTCGTTAAATATTTAGCACACATCAATATAGGTTATAAACAATAACATTTACGGAATCACAACGTTTCTCTTTTGCGCTGACGATGTGTTTTACATAGAAATGTATTTGTCATTATTATGAAATTTTTAAGGCGACATGACAACAAACGTATATAAAGTTGTTAAAATCTTTTTACGATAAACGAAATCTCGTATATAGCCGTACAATAGCCGCAGTATATTTCATATAACAAAAAGGGTTATACTTTCTCGGTGAACAATATGGCGAGCTAGAATGAAATTTTTTGTCGAACAGATTTTTTTGTATTGAACCATTATTTTAATCTCGCATTTAGAATTGTACTCGAACGAGTATGTATCGTTACTCATTTTGCTTTTAATGTCCATTTGATTGTTGATGTGCAATTTTTAATTAATTAGAGTGAAAGTTGCGATGGTCAATACTGCACTGTTGTAACTTTTTGCAACAAGTTCACAAAATACTTTTACAATGCTTATTTCATGATTTTTTAACAACATTGTTGCTGTTACATCGTCGTTGTGCAATTATTATATTATATCTGCATAATAACATGTAACAATAGGAGCAATATACTGCTGGAAAATTATGAAATAGGCATATATATATATGTATATAAATTAGAAATATACAAATTATGTCTTTCTATTAATTTAATAACAAACAAGCTTGAAAAGCTTAATTTGTTTTCTAATCAGAATCAATTGCAGCATTTAATATTGATATTTTGTACACATTGATTTGAAAGTAAAATGTTAAAATTTATAGGCATACATTAGAGAATTAAAATATTTTTAAATGTTAAAAAAATTACATTGCTACTTTGGATAGCTTGATAAGCATGTTGAAGATGAATTTTGTTATGTTATGTACAGATATATATTGTGGTACATAGAACTGATAGAATACTATCTGCAGGTTTTGCTAAACACTAGTTTTAATTGAAATAGCATACTAATATGCTTAAAACTATTTGTTCTGGCATATTGTGTGCGTTTTGTAGAATTTAATAATCAATCGTTATAATAATATAAATATAAGAAGGAGAATTGTCTTATATAAAGTTCAAACATAACAGTTTAGTGATTATTACATCTTTTTGATTACTTCAGACTATTGAGGTAATCACTAGTTGGTGATAAACATGAACAGCATGAATGATAAAGAAGATCACAATCAAAAAAACACTCAACAGAGTGAAAAAATGGAGACTTCTGGGAAGATATACGTGAAGCCGCCTCAGGAAATGCTAAAGGATTCTTCGTCGAAAGATGATGGGCAACGTGCAAGTGAAGGTCCCAGGGAAATGCCAGATGAAGAATTGCGGTTCATCAAAGAGTTGGTTGATGATGACTTCATGCAAGGATTGGACGTCTTAGACGCATGGGAAGGAGATGAAGATAAAAGTCACGAGAATGAGCAAAATGTGACGGATACTGTAAAGCAAAATCAAAAACCCTCTAGGTAGTGTCATTGATATAAATAATTTCTGTAATTTTACATTGCCATATGTAACACAGAAATAAAATTGTTCTATGATGTTATTATATGCAAGTACAGTCGTTGTAAGGAAATTGTAAGAATTATAATTTTTATTAGTTTGAGTTGCATTAATTTATACAATTAAAAATGTTGAATAATATTTATAATTTATGTGTACAATTTTTTATATTAGCAAGAGTAATTATAGGGAACACCATCATGCTGAGCCTAAAGGATCTCACAGCCGTGACAAGTCGAAGAGAGAAGAGAAGAAACGCGAGGAGACTCGTCGGGATCCTTTGAAGAGCACCAAGGACATCGAAAGAGATAAGATTCGAACGAAGAGAGACACGGAGAGTAAACTTCTTGCTGAAAAGGAGAAGGCGATCAAACATTTGTTGGATTCGGACAACGTTGTCCCACCTGGCACGGAAACTGAAGCCATTCAGAGCATCAAAGAGGAACAGAATAGGGAACGAGCGCAACGTGAAGCACAACGAAGCAAAGAGCATCGTAGGAGTATAGATCGTTATAATAGACCGAGTCCACGGCGTAGAACTCCCGACAGATCTCGGTTGAGTCCGCATCGACGAAGAAGTCCTTTTATAAGCCCAGAACGTCGTAAGAGTCCTTTTAAGACAAACATTGAGAGACACAGAAGTCCTCTTAGATACAGCCCAGGCAGGCGAAAAAATTCACCGCGATATTTCTCAGATCGGAGGAGTCCTATATTAAGTCCAGATCGACGAAGAAGTCCAAGACGACTCAGCAGGGAACGACGATCCAGTGCAGATAGAAGATGGAGTGCTGAGCGGCACAGAAGACGAATCGACATGCACGAACGGTGAGGGCAACATATTCTCAACATCTTTCTTAGAGATAATATTTTTAATTTTACTTAATTAAACAGTTAAGGAGGAGATTTTTAAAGTTTATCTAGTCGTCTAGATAAAAATTATTACACTGTATACTAAAATCGCAAATTGTTTTATTAGTATTTAAGATAAATTTTATACTATATGTGCTATGCTACATCTTAGTGATTATCTTAATATATTGCAATTGTAACTACTTTAAATTGTTAAGCCGGAGAAGTCGATCTCGCGATCGGAGGAGTCGCAGTACGGAACGTTTGAGAAGACGATCGAGTCGCTCGCCAGTGAGCAGGCGGTACAGCCCCCGTCATCGAAGTCGCACACGCAGCAGATCGGTGGAGAAGCGCCCCAGGAAGCGTTCGCCTTTTATCAACGAGCTGGCGAGGCAGCTGAGAGACGGAGCGATGAAGCCGACCGGCGTCAACACCGGCGGATACGTGCCGTCCGCGACGATGGAAGAAATATTCGCACCGATATTGAACGCATCTGAATTTAACCAAGAAGCGGAACCTCGACCGCCGCCGTCTGTCGCATCTTCGTATGTTCATCAACCGGGTCCACTTCCGCCGCCGCCGCCGCCGCCGCCGGCAGCGTCGTCCATGTTACCTATGGCGGGTGGACCATCGTTTATGAACTTCGAACCCATACCACCGATGAATTTCGAACCCATACCTCCGCCGCACACCTTGCCGCCGGCGGAATATTCTTCCGGTCCAGTTATGTACAATCAGCCGAGTTCCGTTCCTGTCCAAGCACCACCTCCACCTCCTCCGCCGACGATTCGTTCATCGTTGCTTTCCACGCCAGTGCCCCCGCCGCAACCAGTACCCGCCCCGATAATGGATCACACGCAAATGCCGTATAATCCATCACACGGTATGCCTTCTGTCCGACAATCGCCGATTCATCAATTTGAATCATCAAGCAAATCTTCGAATCACTCGGCCGCACCCTCCACGTCGTCGCAGAGTTACACAGAACGTGGATCGTCAACGTCGTACAACGAATTTCGTGCTCCGCGCGAGGAACGTATGAAGACGCCCGAACCACCGGTCATCTCCAAGCCAAAAGTAATTGCAATGTATAATGAATATCTCGTTTTGTTTTTTATTTCGAGAAGAAGCGTTGATCACACTTTGCCGGAATTAATGAGTACTTATTTCAATCCGCCATGTTTATTTTAATTTATGAATTGTGTGTAGAAAAGAAATTAATATTTACTTTGTAAATTCATCTTCCAGCAATTCGAAAAGACGAGCTTGTCCAGTCTATTGGAAGCATCTGTTTCAGCCAAAGGTGCGAGTATGTTTTTATTTGTTACGTGCTTGATCGTAAAGATTCGTACAAAATTGATATTACATCCAGTTTTTTCTTGGTCGACCACAAAAAAAAAAAAAAATTATGTGGTCCTACTTTTATGAAATAATACTAATTTTTTATGTTTTCTTTTTTATTACATTTTTTAGATCCATCTAATATACCGGTGCTATATCCAGGTGAGAATTTAAAAATTTTCGGTAAAGGATTCTTAATCATGTTACGCGATTTGCATGATTGTATATCTTATTAGATATATAATCAAAGAGTGTACACTCATAGAAAAACTTTTTTCTTCTTTCCGACTTATATAATGTGTGTGAAGAACAAGAAGCATGACGTACAACATTTCTCTATAAGCATGATATCATCAAATGTACATCATATGTGTGTTAATTCTACGGGACTGTTTTCTTTCACTGACAGGATTCAAGCCTGAAATAATGCAACTTTGCGATCAAGCGTTGTGCCAGCTGCCATTTGAGGACCCGCGTTTAATCATGAAGGGTAGATTTTTCTATAATCGCGTTGACGAAGACAATGAGAAAAATGATCCCGAGGATCATACATCGAATTCGATGCTCCTGCAGAAGGGCAAAACTAAAATATATTGGGAAGAGAACAACGTGGAGCAGCAAGTGCCGGTCCCGAAAACAACAACACAAACGCATCAGAAAATCTGCCAGACAGATGAGGTGGAAACTGAAACAAAGGGCGTGCAGGTAATCGTCAGCACGGCTGACTTTCAGTCACAAGTTTATCCGCATGAGCTTCAGGCAGTGAAAGAAGAGAAACGGCCGATAATGGATCGTCTTGAATGGAACACGCGGGAAGCGTACGAAAATCCGTCCAGATTTCGCGAAGTTGACGATCTGAGATGGAGCTTGAATAATTCTTCGCAGAGACGTTGGAACAGGCAGTCGTCTCCTTCTCCTAGAAGATCCGACGAGCACGAATTTCATTTAGCTTCCACGGATCACGAATCTAGAGAGATGAGACTGGACTCTCCTGTTAGGGAGGCTTACTCTAGTCGCGAGTATTATAGTCATAGCAAATATTCGCCAGATTATCACAGACGTTCCGCGGAGCGTGACGATTTCCATGACAGAAGGAGCGATCATAGCCGTGGGGAGAGCCCGATGGAATTGGAAGACTCCGACAATGAGACGGTGGTGGCCGAACATACATTCCAAAGAGGATCTGATTGGCATGGAAGAGGGAAAACGTTGAGGGGTAGAAGTCACACCTCGAGAGGAAAGCACCCGGGAAGAAGGTCGTTTCGGAGAAACTTTCGAGGCAAGTTTTAAGACTACTATTTTATGTGTACAAACCAGAATTCTGTATGAGCAGTAATGGTAATAATTGTTAATGATATACATAAACGGGACGTCTTACGATATACATGGGATTATATTAAGAGAAGTGAGAAGGAAGTACAATATTTACGATAAATATTTCAACATGAATTTACAGTGAACAACAATGAAGAGACAATTATAAAAACTTAATATGCTCAAATATCTTTGCACAAGTGTGTTTAACTATCCAAGTATTAATTGTGCATACTATGCCAGAATGGGAATCAGTGTCTACAAAAAACTTCAAGACCATTAGTCTCCTTTCTTCGCGTTACAAAAATTATAACGCAAAATTGTAAAAATTGTTACAATCAAAATAATACCATATCTATGTAATCTGTTTGTACATGGCACTATGTGTCATAATATCGCTTGTAACAATGATAAATGCTGACAAACATTCTGTTACTGTTATTGTTAATTGAATATTGATTGATATTTGATTTATTAATTAAATATTAATGAATGTATGTGTAAAAGAACAGCGATAATACACAACAATCCTATTTAATAAATAATCAGTATAAGTATTCAATATCGCTGCACACGACTTGTTGCGAGACACCGCTGTGTTATTGAATCTTAAAGAAAAAAAACACATGTGTCGATGAAATGAAGACTTAAAGCGGAAGCAATAAGAGTTATAAGTGAAATATATTGCAGAATTTGTCAAACAAGTGTGTCTGATCATTCGTTTTATCACAACGATTTTTCTATTGTAGAACTAGGCTGTCATTATTCTGAATATCTCATCGATCATATCAGTTTTCGTGACTGCAGGGATTCGATTGTAGAATAGTTACGTGGTAAATTACTTAGCGTAAGAAATACTTGTCGAACTGTAAATTGAGTATTTTATTTTTTTTAAGAAACAAGACTGCATATATTGCGAACTAATCTATAGTGATATACGTTGTATGCTACAACTCCAAGTGTTGCATCATGTTATGCAGTTTACATGGTCTTGTCTCGCTTCGACACTTCGTATGTCATTCGTGATCTTTTTTTTTTTTTTTTTTTTTTGATAAGTTTTATCCTATATTCTTTATTCGTCCCGTGCGTTTATATATAATAATTTTTTTGTGAGAAAAACACGTTTTATCGAGTGCCATCTCATCGCGCAAGTTAGCAATATCGTTATTGTCATTAAGTGATTATAGTGATTTATAATGCGTTACAAGTATACACATATTTGTTAAAGTTTTCAATTGTTTACATTGTTTAACAATTGTTTAACAATTGTTTAACATTATATTTTCTTTTTTTATACCAGCCAATTACAATTATTTATCCTATTAGATATTATTATAATTAGAACAACATATCTTATTTAAAGAACAGCATAAACGAAAATGTAACTATAATTACATTATATTCCACAAATAATTTCTATGAATTTTTTTAATGAATTGTCAAAACATGTCAGTGTTATATTTGATTTTAATAGATAACATATTCTTATATCCAAATGTATCTTTGGTATTTTTTCCTCATTATATGTGCCTTTAAGAAATTATCACCAAAAACAAGATCTGTTCTTTTAAAAGGAATAAAAAGAAAATTAATGAAAATATCGTAACAAGCATTTGCAATTTTTACTCCTTTATATGTTCTTGTAGAAGTCTGCTGCTCCAATCATATTTCTATACAATTAAAAATGTATTCATATTTATTCCCTTCGATTTAACGAGTCAGTAGTTTATATTGATTAATTATATAAATTACACCAATTATCGTGGCAAATATAAATAAGTGCGCGTGGGTATAAATATAGAGAATTATTAATTGAATCGTATCTGTATCTAGCAATATAAAAGCATTTGTTTCAAGGTCCATCAGCAGCACTTTGTAAAAAATATATTTCACGCTTTTAAGTTCTACATAAATCTAGTACGTTCTTTCGAAGTTAATTGTGTTGTAAATTGCATTGTTTTTTAATCTTCAGACATGATCGTTTGATTCGAATTGAGCAATTTATGTTGCAATTTAACGCACATTTAATTTATGAACGTCCAGTTTAAACCGTTTCGCAGATTTATTCAGCCTTGCTTCAAAAATAAATATATTATCATGAAGTAGCTGCGTATATTCCTTAATGATCTCAGTGGAAATCTTGAGAGAGAATGCGTAAGTCGAGAATGCTTTGTTAAGTGAGAATCTTTAGTGACTCATGCGGTTTCTAATGAAATATTCTCTTCACAGAAATATCGCAACTTCTTACATCCCTTGGCTTGAAACCAAGCTGCTTACGCTAAACTACGCTACAAGATTTTTCTATATTTTTCCGGGTATTATATAAATTATAAAATATTTAACAAATTTGTACTATTTCCGTTTTAGAAAAAATTGTTTCAAATCGTGTTACATATAAAGTTCGAGCATAAGGATTTTAGATTGTGATTTTAGATTAGAACTTCGTATCTCGGTATGGACATATTATTTATTTTATAAATACCGCCAAATTGTTTTATTAAGCGTATCACGATATTTTGATGCCCTTATCTTTACACTTACTGCTTTAGATGCAGTTTATGATAACAAAGCAAATGAGATGGAAATTATATATACATTTCTTAAACCAGAAGATGGATATTATTCCGGTCCATGTGTATCAGACTTCTATTTATCCATCTATATTGATCATCAATCAATTGTACAAAACAGTATTTTTATCTGCGTATTATTTATATCTACGTATTTCTTTTAGAATATTTCTTTCTAAAGAATAAGAGTTTAATTTTTGATTGCTGAATTTACGTTCGATTGCTAAATTAAGTTTCGTGTAAGCAGATGACACTACACCAAGTCAGAAATTAATAACTTTGGTCTATTGGATAAAAACGAGTGCTCACCGATCGATTCGAATTCACCCTCTTGTCGCAGGGCGACATGGCGCGTAGAGTCAGCTGTGCTAGCCGATGCTGCCATCGCGCGTTAATCGAGCGTATCTGCTGTTGTCAAGCGACGCAGCGTCGCGTTGGCAGACCTGCCGTGTCGGAGTTCGTCCTCGCTCTCGCTCTGCGCCACGACGGTGGCGTTCGTGTGCGCTGTCTCGCGGCCGATAGACGAATCATTCGGCATGGATCCAGCTCCATGTTCGCCCGTGAAAGCGATGCGGTGTCCCCGCGGTTAGGACGTTGTACGATTCTCGTGTGTGCTGCGGGAACGTCGCGCGTTACGCGTCGTGTAAGCCGCGAGCCCGAGCGTCCGCTCGACGTCGTCGTGATCGGTGCTCATTCGTGCGCGTTCGCGAGCCAGTGGTGCGTCGGACAACCTCGTCTCGTGTGTCTCAGTGTGGCGTGGCGGCACAGCAGCAGTGACGGTAGCAGCAATAGCATCGGTGGCAACGCTTTTAACACGAAACAAGCCCTACGGGACGTCCGCGGGGGACCTCGTAGAAGCCGATCACGGCTGCGACGCGAGCTGGCGAGGAGGAGCACTCGTCGGTGCGTGTCGGCGGTGGCGACGGCGACGGCAGCAGCGGCGGCGGCGGCGCGTGCTGCGAGGACGAGGTGAATGCACGGCGGCCGCGGTGTGTGCCAGTGGTGTGCGCGCTCGTCGCCCGTGGAAACCCGCCAAAACCCGCGGCCGCGAACAACCACCACCGCCACCACCATCAACAGCAACAACAGCAACAACAACGATATCGACAACGTCGGCGGGAGGAGTATCTGCACGTACATCGGCGGCGGGGAAGGCAGCTATAAAAATCCCGTGAGCAACACAACGATAATTGTAACAAAAAACATCGGAAGCATCGGTGCGACAGCAGTAGCCGCCGCTGGTGCACGACGACGACGACGACGACGACGTTGTTGTTGTTGTTGTGCCGTCCCGTTCCGTCAAACAGCGGCGTTGTCTCGGCGCGTCTCAGGGCGTCGCGCCGTTTTTCGCGCGACGCCGCTGCTTGTCACGGCTAGTTTTCGGGAGTAGTGGTGGAGAGATAAAAGAGAGAGAGAGAGGAATATCGCGCTCGTGTGACGGTAACGGCGGCGGCTATTGCCCAGCTTTGCACACACGTCGTTGGCGACAACGGCGGCGGCGGCGGCGGCGGTGGCGGCGGCGGCGGCGGCTGCGTTCTGTTATTATTTTGCCGCGGTGCTTTTGACCCTTCGTACCGGGCGAGTTCATTGCGGCGCTGTCGCGGGGGTGTCAGCCGGTAGTACATCCACACCGCGCTCTCCTCCGCGTATATCCTCCTCCGCCTCCTACTTCTCCGTCCGTCTGGCGACTCGCTCGCGCGCGGCAGCAGCGCCGGCGTCGGCGACGAAGCGGGGCGCCTCGTGATCGTGAAGCGCCGAGGACGGGAACAGCGGAGGATCGGGGTGCGTCCTTCGAGGTGCCCATCGGTCCCACGGGGTCTCCCCGGGACCCCCGGCGAGAAATCCTTGTGAAGAAAAGAAAGATCGCATCGCTTTCCTCTCGTTTCCGCCTTCGCGGCGTGTCAAATCGCAGAAACGGAGCGATCGCGCCGAAATCGCGCGCGCGAATCACGTGATAACGGCGCGAGAACGACGGCCAGTAGTCAGTCACGCCGGTGACGCCGATGATCATAACCTGAAAAACCGGCACGCTCTGACGATCGCTCGCAGTCGTCGGGAGTAAGCGCGCCGTTTTCCATCTGTCAGCCCTTCCATCCTTCTCGTTCCCGCGTCTGCTAAAATACGAAAACAAACGAGGTTTCGGCACGTCGGATAATATACCCTCCTCGCAGCTGTTCGGTGGCGCGCTCACATTCGCGTCCCTGTTTTGAAACGCGAAGCCGACTGTTCGCGGCACAGTGTACGCGCCTCGTGCAGAAGGAATATCTTCACAGATCGTGTATTATGTCTTTCAGAGTGCGGCGAAACAACTGGGAGAAGTGATAACGGAAGGACGTCCGTCGGCTGTCAGAAATTACCGCTCTGGCGCGAGGTCGTTGGCCCGAAACATCGTTCGACATTTTAGCAACGGGAAGAGGAGCCAAGACGCAGGTGTTCACGTGCGAGCCACAGTCATCGACGGTCATTAATCATCGCCGCCACCATTTCTATCGCATCGTCGCTACCACCCATTCGTATACGACGCTGCTCGTCGCCGCCGTGGATCCGCTTCCTCGCACGACCGACTGGATCCTGCGAGAGAGAAACGCGCCGGCGGATATACGCGAGTTTCACGGCCACGACCCGATTGCGATCGGCGAAAGGAAAGGCAGCACAACGAGCGGAGCAACGAGCGAGAAGGTAATCCCGCGCGCGCGCTCGCGTCCACAAGTGTGCGTGTATGTGTGCGAACCGTGATCGGAACTCGCGTCTCGAATCACGTCGTGTGTCGGTAGTCGCGCGCGACTCAGTGCCGCGCGTCGTGTCTCGTGCGTTTCGTCCGTGTGCCCGTTCGACAAGGAGAATCGCGCGCGCGAACGGGCGTTCGTTATGCTCGCAGTGACAGCTCGGCGATAACGCGCCAAGGTGGCTCCGGTTTCTCTCAGTGCTCCGAGTCGAAAGTTTTTTTCGCACGCGAGGAAGTATACGTACATCGCATATCCAGTTTTCATTTCTCCCCCTCCTCCCCTGTCCGTTCCTACCCGGTGAAGTGCGCGACTGTTAACCAGTGAAACGTATACGTGGTGCCGCGTTATACGTATTTAATATATATATACGCATATGTATATACAAACTATATCCGCATCATCCAGTGTGCCCGATTGTGCGAGTTTTTCTCGCGCGTGTGCTGCGTTTTCCTTCTTCGTGACTGAAGATCCAATTTGCCTGCCCCTCCAACCCTTTCAACCGATTGTGGCGAAACGAAAGACAACGCATTTCAGCCCGCCTGACAGGGATCGCATCGAAGGTATGTGTGCCAATTCTTCTTTCCGCGAATCGCTCACGGAGTTTTAAGGTTAGGTTGACCGCTCACGAGACGTCGCGCGTCTGGTCGATCGAACGGTCGAAAAGTAAACGTGTATCAGTTACAACTGTGTGTTGCGTCGTGCGCGACGCGTTGTTTACGCGTATTCGTGTGTACATATGAGTGGTTTTTTTTTGTGTTCCGAAATGTGTGGAGAGACACGCGTTGAATTTGAATGGTGCTCCGAGTAAAAATGCGAAATTGTTTTCGCCCGCTCGCCCTTGCGATTCCCTCTCAAGTGGACCTAACCTCAAAACTCAAGCCGTGAGTAACTACGCCGTCCCTCTCTGTCGCTAGCTCGTGCCGCGCACTTCGCAAGTCCCGCTCCTTCGACATAGCGCGCCGCACGGCCGCTGCCCGCTAGAACAGCTGTTTAAGCGGCGCCGTGAGCGGCGAGCTCTGTTCTACTCGTCTTTTTTTCCCATCGGCTTCGTGCTCTCTCCCCCGGAGTCGCGCGTTCAGATGTATTGCGGCACGACGCGGTTGCTATGCGTCCGGTTCGTAAAAAGTCTGCAAATAAAATGGGATTCGTCGCTTACGCGCCAGATTACACTGATAATATATCGCGGCCGATCGCGATGGTATTCTGCATCTTATTGTTTTCTCGTATCTGCGTCTTATCGTAAAAACAGTGAGAAAGTGACGAAATATTATAAGTTGCGTTTCGTTTCTTTAAAGAATATTCCAAACAATGTAATATACTTTTATGTATGAAACATTCGCAATATGATTTTCCGAATTGTAATTTGTCACAGTTGCAATCACGTCTCATATTATATGTTTATATTTATTATTATGTCCATTAATTTATTCGTATTCTTAGATTCTAATCTAGAAATTTACGGATTTTTCTTCTGCATTTTTGTTAGGAAAAAATGTATCCTAATGCGTTAAAAATATTTTCTAACGGTACAACTAATCTTTTGAGATATAATTACTGGTTATCTCTCGGCGCTGATAACATGTAGGCGTTTCCAAATAATTCTTCAGAATACAGTAAATTCCATCTTTCATTTCGAGTGATTTGGGATACACGTTGAGACACACTTGAAGGCACGACGGCACCTCTCCGTCCTTGCATCGCCGCGTATTTCGTATTATCGCGCAATCACGTTATTAAACCGCGAGTGATAGGCAACGGGCAGCGTTACCGTCGCAATTACAGCTGTAAGAGTGGAACAGTGAAATATAAAAATAAATCAGAATATACAGTCAAAAATGAAACGTAGAGTAGAATAATTAAAACATACAATGAAAAGTTAATATAGTGATATATAGTGAATTTAATGAATGAAATATATAACAATTTATCATAAAAAATGGGAAAATAAAATATTAATATTTAAACGCAGTTTTACAATAACAATTTTGATGCACTTTTAGATGTCTAAAATTTTTGACACATTGATATCATAAATAAAAAACAAACACACGATATTTTATCACGAGATTTTTTGTAATTTGTCAACATTGTCAAAAGTTTTTATTATTGCAAAAATTCTACAGGTGGCAACACTGTATAAGAAATATCGCATAAAATCTTCGCATCACTGCATCGCGCGTTTCACATTATCGCGCAATCACGTTATTGCGTGTTTCATTCGAAAAGTAAATAACCGAGGAAAGCCGGAGGAAGATAGGAATATCGATACTTCGATGAGTTTACCAACAATTTTTTACCTGAAAATTGATAAACTAATTCTAGAAAGATATACTAGAGATAGGAAGATATAGTTGAGAAACTATATTTGATCTCTTAAATATATATTGATCTTGACTTTACGATTAGATTTTTCTTTGCTTTAAAACTGAAGTCGTCAAGAAATAAGATAAATTTGGAATTCACGCAAGTAATATTTTTAATTTATTCTTAACAATTCACAGTAATGCAAATAACTTTTCACACGTCTTTGAGATAATCTTTCCTTACATATTACTGTAATAATATTACATCTCTGCTTTATAATTGTAAAATAGAATAACATAATTTTAAAGTTACATTGATCTTTGACCTTTAAGTCAATTCGTGCGTTGTCACGAAGAAGAAAAATACTTGTGGATAATTTTCCACATTTTTTTTCTTTAAAAGCCTTTCTTAATTGATGCAAAATGATAAAGTAATACTCTCTCCGATATCATATTCTTTCCCGTACACTTCTATAGCTTAATCACTTGTATCTGAATGCAGTGTAGCCGTAATATTATCGAGAATATATCGAACGCCCTTTGTACTTCCGAGTCGATTGTATTTTGGAGCCTCGATCTTCCTTCGTTCACTCCGCGTGTACGTGCATGGCCTTCCGAAATAAGATCCTAATTTTGGCGCGGCGACGTTATTATCAGTTTGATATTAAATTACGTGCCCCGAATCAATAACTCGTTTTCAGCGTGGACACATCGCGATTACATCGGCGCGAGAATGTTTTTCGTAAATCACACGATCGCCGGCTTATCAGGGGCAGCGGGAATGAGGAGGGTTCCCTCGAGACGTTCCCTCGAGAGGTTCCCCCTCGAAGAAGCTACCGTGGTTGCACTCATCGTCAGATTTCTCCGCCTTATTGATTCGATATGACTTTCGACGTGCGTCGACGCTAACAATGCTATTCCCTGAAGCACGTAAGTCAATGGCGCGTATGTCTGTACTTAAAACAAGAATGTGGCACTCTCCGCACCGCTCGTATCGATCAACACGATTTCGTTTCTGTATGTCTTCTCTTTTCTCTGAATGACGGATTCAGAATGCACTGCATTGTCTTCTTAATGCCGGTTATAAACTAATTATAATTGAGGCGAATTGAGTCTTACAACGTAGAGATGCTTTTTATTCTCATTCTCGTCAAATTTCTTAAATGTGTCGCGGTATTGAAATAAGCGCAGTTGAAATATGTCAAACTTAAGTATATTGATTAGCCTTCGATAATTTTGATATGATTTATCTTTATTGCTAGATGTGAATTTTTTCCATTTTTTATTTACACGAAAAAAGCATTTCAAGTTTTGTTAACGTTTCATTTTCTCACATCGCTCAACGACACATAAATCGTTTCTCAGACTGCGATTATATTGTATAAAATTTAAAGAAAAAAGCTGCCTCGCGCGCGATAAGACTTTTATAACGCAATACACGAATAGACTGCGGAGAAACGTATGGCGCATAAAAAGATTGCTTAACATGCGCTGGAATTCCTGCTGACTTAAAAGCCGGCCGAGCAAATTTTTTCGTCGATACGACGCCTGCTTAATCAGCGCATCGGCGCTCTTTCTTATCGTTGCGTTGTGTACCGTAACTGATTCACTGCTCGAAGATACCTAATTCTGCCCGATTATATCTTTCGGCGTTTCCGTCGTAGCGCAGGAGCGGCGGCAAGTCGGCGAGACACGATCGTGATGGTAGGTCAGTTACGGGCGACATTTATCAGACTGCGTGCGTTAATTCGATCCGTGACAAAACTTTTTCGGATATTTTAGGCTTGTCAGACGCGCCTTCATTTACACAGTGAAAGAAGTCATGCTGATAAAACAAGCGGATGCCTCGTGGTGCGATTATCGCGTTGTCGGCCGAATCGTACTGTGCTTCGTGGAAAAAATATTTTGGAATTTTAGAAATCGGAATATCGCCTAAACGCAAAGTGGTCGCTAATACCTGCAGTAAAATTTGATTTGATTTAAATTACTGAAGAATATTCAAATAATTTTATATATTCAAAATTATTACATTAATCTTTATACACAATTGCCAAGACACTTTGCTAACGAAGATTATTAACATAATTGTTTGTTAAGAATAAAGTATCGTTATTTATTCACATGTCTAAAAACTTTCAGCTCGTGACTCAGAAATTATATATTGTCATGTCTGTTGAGAAAGAAGCATTAAGATAATTGATAAAATTTTTCTTCAAATATTATTTGAGATAAGAAACCTTACATATTAGAAATCCTATGTCAAGTTCCGAAGTTCCACTTGTTTAAATATGAATAATACATTAAGACAAGACAAACGTTATCGTAAAAAACGTGACATTTTGAGACAAGGGGACGAATTTATATTCATCTATTTTATCCTTAAAACAATCTACGTCAACTTCTTTATTTTGTTTCGATTTGTTCTAATTTTGTGGCTAAAAATAGAAAAGCAATTTTTGCGTCACGTTTGACCAATGTTCCTGTATATTTTCGGCTGCGATATGCGGTATGAAATCGAGGGTTAGCAGAGTTAATACGAAATCCACTTAGATATCGGCGAGGGTTAAGGTCGGGTTTAGCCGCGCACGCGTTTCGGTTTTTGTCCTTACCCTTTAACCACGTGCTTACGAGGAGTATTCTCGTAAAATTCTGACCTTTCGTATTCGAGGATCGCCAAAGGAATTATTTGACCTTTCGCGCCGACGTCTGCGCCCCGATTAAGAAGAGAAATACACTCGATAACGATCCTTTTAATAGATTCTCCTTTACGTGCGGCGGTCGAAAAGCGCATATACAGAAGAATATCAACGTCCCACGCGTCCATTGCGATTTTCATTGTGTTACGACGTTAATGAATACTCGTGTGTAATATCGAGCGAGATACAATAAGCGGAATCCGCGGACTGCGGATTCGTGTTTACGTCCGTTTTTAGCGAAGCAACCGGCCATGACGGTCGTCGCAATTAAATTTCATACACGCGAGGTAAACAGGCGTCTCTTTAAAATTCCAGTGCGCGCACACACGCACCGGTCGATTTCCGTTTCAAGGAAATTACGATACGAAATATCGCGCGCAAATGCACTCGATGCGTTCGATTCTACCGCGTAGAATTAACGAGCCTTTCTCTTCTACACGAGAATCGCGCGCGTCTTCGCCGGGATGTTTCCCGCATAAAGGCCGACCGGATCGTGAAAATCGGAAAACTTGTTTACGCGATTGACGCACGACGCATTCATCGCTTATGCGATCTGAAATG